GACATTTAACTGTGACTCTGGGAGATGCTGCCTGGTATGTGAAATTGCAGGGGAAGGTTGTGGCGGTTCAAGGATACTAGTTACAGAAAATAAATGACACAACAGCAATATTATAATGTAGCATAGCTGAACTCTTCAAAAAAAACCTTATCATCTACACTTATTACGAGAATGTTCCACTAGGTACAATGGAATTTATCAATATGGGGGAATTTTCCAGATTATTTAATGTCAGAGGCCACCAAGAAAACAAACTGCTAATGCTGTAACTGCACTACATTACAAAACAACACATTGTTATCTGTAAACCTGAGTAACTTTAGAGACATTAAAATGTTCCAGTATATTCACCTTTATTAATAAAAATATAAGTTCAAACAGCATCTAAATTAAAAAAAAATCACAGTACAATTGTGTTACCTTTTCTCAACACACACACTGGAAACATTTGGGGAGTATTATTGTTCTTGTAAATTATCATCTCATGCAACAGTTTTCTTTGGTTTTATACCTGGAGGCTAACTGTTCAGCAAATGTGGACATACAACAATGTTCTGCACTGACAGATGAACTGTCCATATTTCCTCACATATCATGGATGGCTTTTCATTCCAACAATATGAACTAATATTCAACTATGACTACCATGAAGATACATCAGGATTTTAATAAATTGAAATTTTCTTAAAAGGAGGTTTAGAAAAGTATTTAAATTTTTTTAACATTTCTGTGTCTTACCATCACACACAATAGCATGACTTACAATGTAACATACAACAAAATTCTGAGTAACCTTGAAACAGCAATTTCATTTAGATTTTTGATACATTGTGCATTATAGTGTCCTCAATCTTCTACAGAATGTAATTATGAGTGATGCTCACCTAATATGCACAAGTTCACGGGTTGTTAAGGAACCAGCAATCAACCCACTGACTTCACACACACACCAGGAATAAAAACAGTAGCATCAACTGCTAGGAGACTGGAATCAATTTAATATATCCTTGTCAAAATAATTCAAATGCTGTCAATATACAGTAGTTTATATTCTGAGTAATTATACCTAACTGGACATCGATCCTCTTGACATTTTGAGGCACACTGAAAACTACTGATTGGTATTTTTAAACTTTCTGTGATTCTCTGTAATAATTATTCTGATTTAGAGTAATACCTGAAAGCTATCATTAAATCTCTACTCTGAATTATGATATTTTGAAAGTCTTTTTCAATTACATACTTTCCTGAATTTTTACACCTTTCAAGCTACTTTCAGCTATAAGTTCTTTGGGATTATGGGGACTGTGTAAATTCACAAAAGTCTTTCATATTTTATGAATGTAGAATCCCACCCTACTATGCATTCTAATACATAATGAGGCTGTAGGTCCACATATATGATTTTCTACAATTTTCCTTTAAATGTTTTTTTAAATGGTGTGAAATCTCATATGTACTTATGAAGAGAATGTTAAAAAAAACCTTTAATTTGTTGAGTATGCTTCCATTATGGGCTAAAATCTTCCCATAATTACTACATTTGTACAGCTTTTCTCCAGATGGATATGTCCCAATCTGGCTAATGCAGCTCTGGTCACAAAAAGACTTGTTATATACACTGCTTTTATATGGTTTCTTTCCACTACGAGTGACCTGATGTCATAAAGTGTTGCCACAGAGTCCATATTTATAAGCCTTGTGTCTAGTATGAATTCTCTACTGATAAGTAAGGGTTATGTGTGGCTAAAAGCTTTATGCCATTATGTACATTTAAAAGGCATCACTACAGTATAAATATATTTTATGATGAATGAGCATTGAGGACTGTTTAAAGTTTATGTCACATTAGGTATATAAGTAAGGAATTACCTCTGTATGAATTACTTGATGTCGAATAAGGCTTGAGGACTATAAAGTGGTTTATTACATACTCAACAATTAAAAGGCTTCTCTCCTATATGGAGTTTCTGATGCCGAGAAAGCTTACAGGACTGGTGAAAGGCTTTACCACATATTTTACATATATAAACCTTTTCATGGGAATGACCTACTTGATGTAAAATAAGGTTTGAGGAGGAAGTAAATGCTTTACCACACTGTGTGCATTCATAACCCTTCTCTGCAGTGTGAGTTTTCTGATGATTAGTGTTATCCGCTGCCTAAAGGTTTTGCCACACTGTGTACATTCATAGGGCTTCTCTCCAGTATGAATTTTCTGATGTTGAGTAAGTGTTCCCTGGTGTCTAAAGGCTTTGCCACACTGTGTACATTCATAGGGCTTCTCTCCAGTATGAATTTTCTGATGCTGAGTAAGTGTTCCCTGGTGTCTAAAGGCTTTCCCACATTGTGTACATTCATAGGGTTTCTCTCCAGTATGAATTTTCTGATGTTGAGTAAGTGCTCCATGGTGTCTAAAGGCTTCCCCACATTGTAGACATTCATAGGGCTTCTCTCCACTATGAATTTTCTGATGTTGAGTCAGGCAGGCATGCCTGAGATCAATGATCTCACAGATTTCAAGCATCTTCAAAATATGTGTTTCTGTTTGGCAGGACCCACATTGCTCACAGCATAACAGCACACAGTGAATACATTAAAGTGCACACTGAAAAGGAATGGTGATACTTGAAATACCACAGAAACCAGTGGACTGGAGATCAATATCAAGCATAAAAAGATACCCTGGGCTTTGAGAAAGAAACTGACACTATATTAAACTTGCTCCTCACACACAATAAAAAACAAACACACACCACTTGTGTTTATCAAAATTAAAGTTTAAACTAGGGGTGAATGTTATTTTCTCTTAACCTGGAGAAAGGAAGTTCATAAAGCCTAGTTGTTTACATTTCTGAAATTCAACAAATATATCAAGACAGGAAACAGAAAACCAATTCAAATCAGAAAATTAAAATATATCTACAAAAACTGGCACTATGTGTATTGAAATGTATTATCTACTGGATAAAGAAGTGAAAAATACCCACCTGAATATAGAAACATAGAAAAAATATGACAACTACTTAATAGTAGCAAACCTGTAAATGACCAAAATAAAAATCAAAACAGAGAAAATGTAAAAGTAAGCCAAACATAGAATGGGAAGCTGAAAAACAGAATATTCAAATTGAAAAATACATTAAAATATAGAAACATCAAGCAGTTCCCTGTTTATGTCCTCAGCCAGGTAAGAGGCCCAACAACCCAGGCATATTCCTTTTCCCAGAAGTAAACCAGAGACCTTAGCTTGAGGGATGATGCTGCACAAACTGAGCCTCTAGGGCCAGGGCAAAAGCTAATAGCTCTTAATTCACTAAAAAAAGAGATTGTAGGACATTTTTTTTTATTATAACACCCAAAGGAAATGTAAACCAGCAAAAGTAAACAAATAGCATTACACCAAATATAAAAACTCCTGCACATTAAAGCAAACAACCAGTAGGATAAAATCACATCCTGTAGAAGGAAAGAAAAAATTTCTACAAAGTGTACCTGATAAGTAGTTAATATCCCAGGTTATATGAAGGACTTTTACAAAACATCATGATAAAACAAGTAACCCAATTTTTAAAATGAACAAATATATGTCATTAACTAATTTATTAAAAAATCAGGAATATACAATGAGATCAGACAGATTCTATCATAAATGGTCTGAGAGAAACTGAACCAATACACACAAAACATTATAAGTAGACCACTTTGTTATGACATGTACCAAAATAAACTTCAAGTGGATTAAAACCTAAATTTAAGACCTGAAACCATGAAAACACTAGAAGAAAGGACAGCTGACAAACTCTGTCATGACTCTTAAAAAATATTCTTTTAGATATAACATGGTAGGTAGAGCAGACAGGAGAAAAAAACTAAACAAGACTACAATAAAATAAGATTTTGCAGAACAATGGAAATCATCAAGAAAACAAACCAATCTAGTGAATAGTGGAAGATACTCACAAATAATGCTAAATATTCAAAGGATACAAGGAACTTACACCACACCAAAAACAAACAAACAAAAAAACAAACAACAATCTGATGGAAAAACAGGGAGCACTGGCTTGTGTGCTCAATGGATTGAGTGCTGGCACCTCTGAACCAAAGGATCGCCAGTTGGATTCCCAGTAAGGGCACATGCCTACAGTGCAGGCCAGGTTCAGTTTTCATATTACACGTCTGTATACCTGCTAAACAGACCTTGTTACACCAAAAAAATTATCTCTCAACATGTCACCTTCAAGCGATGAGTCATGATGTGTTTATGGAAATTATGAAAAAAACGGACTGCAAATATAAGTTCCATGTTACTGAACAATTACAAAAACTTAATTGTATGCACTGCATACATTTTTGTAAAGATTCTATTTATTTTTATAGAGGGGAAGGGAGAGAGAAAGAGAGGGAGAGAAACATCCATGTGTGGTTGCCTCTTGTGCACCCCCTACTGGGGGCCTGGTTTGCAACCCAGGCATTTGTCCCCAGACTGGAAATCCAACTGGCGACCCTTTGGTTTGCAGGCTGGTGGTCAACACACTGAGGCACAGAAGCTCAGGAGACCACATACTTTTCAAGGCAAATTGTAAACCAACTTTGTTTCTCAAATTCATAGTATTAACATTTAAACTGATGTCTCAAATGAAGCATTAAGAAAAAAAAAGAAAAAAGCAAGCATCATCATGAGGGAAAAAGAAGAACTCATGAGCTGAGAAAAAATATTTGTAAGCCCTGAGTGGTGTGGTTCAGTGGACTGAGCACCTGCCTTTGAACCAAAATGTCAGCAGTCTGATTCTTGGTAAGGGCACAGGCCTGGGTTTGACTCCAGATCCCCATTTGGTGGTGTGAGAGAGGAAACTGATCAATGTGTTTTTAGGCATTGATGTTTCTCTCCTTTTCTCCCTTACCTCTCTGTAGAAATAGATAAATAAAAGTATTTTAAAAAATATATAGATAAAAAGATGGTGTCTAAAAGACTCTCAACATCTTATGTCTTTTAGGAAATGGACATTAAAAGAAGGAAAATTGAAGAAAGTGCACATTCAAGCAACATGAAAACCCCTGCTGGAAAGGTCAGAATCCAGAACACTGAGAAAAGCAAATGCTGCTGTGCATGTGGAGCAAACGGAGCTCTCATTCCTTACTGGTGAAAATACAAAATGCTACAGTCCCTTGGGAAGAGTTTAGAAGTCCTCACACAACTAAGCATACACTTATTATATAATACAAAAAAATGTGCTCTATAGTATTTAACCAAAGAGCTAAAAATTTTATCTACACAAAAGCCTACATGGGACTATTTTTAGAAGTTTAATTCATACATTCCAAAAATTCAAATCAATGAAGATATATGTGAACAGGTGAATAGAAAAGGAAACTGAAATATATACAATGAAATATTATTTAGCACTAAAAATGATATATCAAGGCATGAAAGAAATGTAAATTAATAGAATTAAGAGAATTTATTACTTCTCACCCACTGCTCAGTTGGTTAGAGAATCATCTATATACACAAATGTCACAGGTTATATGTCACCCCAAAATATTCAATTGAGGATTCGAAAGAGACATTTGCATATATGTGTCAATGGTAGCATTAAATACAAAAGCCTGGTAGGTGGAAACAACCACCAGGTCAATGGATAAATACATTAAAAATTGTAGTATATTCAGTGCCAGCTGTTGTGGCTCAGTGGATGGAGTGCTGGCCTGTGAACAAAAGAGTTCCTGGTACAATTTCAAGTCAGGGCTCATGCCAGGGTTTTGGGTCAGGTCCCCAAGAGGTGTTGCACGAGAAGCAAATACACACCAGTGTTTCCCTCTCTATCTTTTTCTCTTCCCTTCTCTCTAGAAATGAATAAAATATTTCAAAAAGTTATACAAATGTAGTACATATACACAATGGAATACTGCTCTGCCTGGAAATAGAAAATATGTTCTCACCTGGTACCACAAAGTCAAACTAGAACATGTTCTAAGTGAAGCACTTGAGTCACAAAGACACATGCCACAGTCTTCCACTTAGGTGAGTTCTAATGGAGTGCAACTCAGAGAAAAGAAAAGGTAGTTACCTGGGCCTTGGTTTTACAGAAAAATGAGGAAGTGGTTGTTTAATGGATATTGCCACATTTCTGTGAGATGAAAGTTTCCAGAATTCAGATGCACAATTAACCAAATAATCTTAATGTGACTTAACTGTACCACTAGAGAAAGTTTAGAAGGTAGATCTTTATTTACATGATTTCTTATCAAAATTTAAAATAAAAAAAATATCAAAAAGAGACAACTATAAATCTTTTGCTTTTTAACTTTGACTTTTTATTAACTTTTAGTCCAGTTTATGTAAGAATCTGTGAAAAAAATCAAATCCAGCAAATAAAAGGCTTTGCTTATCATTTGTAAAGCTAACTGTAAATTAAGCTGTTGAAGGGTCAGCATTTACTAAATTACATAATAGAATATTCTGTGGAGTCAGTAACTGATACACATTTGACAGAAAAAGTAATGGGTGTTAAGATACCATGCAGATTTATACATCAATCAAATGCAGAAATACACAAAATGTACCCTTGCCTTGGTTATAAGATGTTGGTAACCGCCCTGACTGGTATCAGAGGCTGAAACCCCCGCCCAGGCTAAGGCTAAGGGAACGCCCTTGGAACTGTAAGCCAGCAACGAGACAAAAGCTTATCTTCCTGGCAGGAATGCTGCTTCTGCTGCTTTATTCATGACTGAACCCCCAAAAGCTTGATCGGTTAGCCAAAGACGGGTAAGATTCCCCATGGGGGGAATGACCTAAGACAGGCACGATCACTTTGGGAGGACCCCCAAAAGAAGGATTTGGGGGGGCTGCAGCAAAAGGGGGTGATGGACCCTCGCTCCTTGGCTTTCACATAGCCTGAGTTCTCAGCGTCTGGAAGAAAATCTCCTTATCTCTCGGTTGCCTTAGTTCCCTTGCTCCACCTAAGCCTGAAACAATGACAGGGTGGTGCAGCTCGGTACTGAGAAGTGTGGATTCCCCAGGGTGATCAGGCCTAAGAAAGAATATGTAAATTACTGGGAAACCTCCTTTGTTTAGAATGCTCTCAGTTGAATGAGAAGGGTCTTAGGAGGAGGTTAGTTTGTTCCTCAGTCTTACAGCTCTTTGACCCCCAACTCAATAGACCAGCAGAGTTCTTTGTTTTCTATAGTTCCTTACTTCCCCCTAATGAGTACTGTACTTTACCTGAATTATTATGCAGAATGAGCCCAATAAAAGCAGGTATGGACGGTAAATCAGCGCGCTCCCCACTAGGGGGGGTGGCCATTTTGTCCCTACTTCCCCACAGAAACTAGTCTGTCTCTGTGCATGTGTTGTTTTTTCTCGCGTGTTTATTGTCGAGCCATCCACAGCGTTCCGTGGTCACTGCTGGCCAGTGACCCACGCACAACAATAAGACAACTAAGTATTTAGGAAGCTAAAGCTTGATTAAGCACCAACACACACAAAAAAAGCTTCTTATTTTTAAGAAAAAGTATGTTTTGTCACTTTCTGTTCTCGGCATGTATTTCAATTCTTTCCAGTGGACCCAAAACCTCCAGGCCCCCATTCAATGTCTTCCAAATCTTGAACTTCCCCTATTTCTGTATAATAAACCTGTTCACAAATGCACTGTGCAATGCGGTCACCTTTTTAACTTCAAAGTTTCCTTTGCCAAAATTGAACAGTACAACACCAGTATTTCCTCCATAATCTTCATCTATGACACTAGCTGCTACATCTAGGAAGTGTTTTGCAGCCAAACCAGAACATGGAGCTACTCTACCATAGCACCCAACAGCAAGAGTGATCTGAATGTCGGTTTTCACAAGGGCTTTCTCCATAGGTGGCAGTGTGTGAGCATTGGTACTGTACAGATCACAGCCACCTGCTGGTCGCAGGGGTGGTGTGCTCCCAGAGCAGAAGGAAAGGTATCCCTGAACTGCCCATCCTCTGCAGGACACTACTGCTTGCTGGAGGAGATGGTGTGTACCTCTTCAGGCCATGGCATGGCAGAGCAGAATGTGGGCACAGGTTGCCACAGAGAAACAGGAAGGCATGAATCAAATCATTTCAAAAATTACATTCAACTTGGAACAGCTTTTTAGAACAATTTTATTTATTTATTTTTAGACAGAGGGGAGAGGAGGTTGAGAATCACCAATGTGAGGTGGCCTCACATGCACCCTGTACTGGGGACCTAGCTCACAACCCATGCTTGTGCCCCCAACACGGAATCCAGCCATGGACAGATATAAAAGGAAGACTATTTCTGTAACTCAAAAGACCAAACAGAGATTGACCATTAAACAAGCACAGAAAAAATCAAGATACTTCATGAACAGTGTAAGGGAAAACACAGACAAATGGGCACTTCAATTTAATGGCAATTGCCATATGGCTCATTCGTATTTCAATCAAGTCCTACAACATCTTAAGTATTCATCTTAAAACTATCATTTACTTTCCTAATATGTAAAAATCCCTAAAAAGTTAAAGTTTGGAGAGTTTATCATATATAAGGAATCACCCTGGAAAAGCAGTAATGATAATGACTGACTGAGACTGAGAGATGCTGATGTCCAGGTCTTTCTCTTAAAGGGCCTGACACAGACTTACACAAACTCACAAGCTCTGACCTTCAGCCTTGGGAGAGCAGATTGAAAGGGGCTAGGGACATTCAGGGAGGGACTCAACTGTCTGGCTTCAGGCCTAAGGCTGGAGGTGGGGACATTCTCCCACACAGAAGCCATCTGAGGTCATTCTTCCCTCCTGAGCCCTCCTCACAACAGAGCTAGAAGGTGCTATATCTGAGTCCACTCCAACCTGGCTAATGCTATAGTGATTCCCTCAGTTCTCGTGATTCCCTCAGGCCTTGCCCCACTCCACTTGAGAATTCACCCAAGCCATATCCAGTAGGTTTTCCATACAAATGGCCCCTCTTGCCTCATGGTGCAGACTCTCCTAAATCTCTCAAAGAGGCTGAATCTGCCCTCTCCATGCTCTGTACTGCTCACTCAGTGGCTGTGGGAAAGCAAAAGGACATTTTCTTTCCACATTTTATTGTTGTTCAAGTACAGTTGTCTCCATTTTCTCCATCACTCCCCCAACACAGCCATCCCTACTTTCCCACATTTCCCACATTGATCCTACCCTCCTTTAGTTTTTTCCTTCTGTCCTTCATACAACTCCTGAAAATCCTTGCCCTCTGCCCCCATTATCCCTTCCACCTCTCCTCTGGTTACTGTCAGTTTGTTCTTTATGCCCATGTTTCTGGTTACATTTTGCTTGCTTGTTCATTTTGTTGATTAATTTTTTTTCTTATAGGTGAGATCCTATGGTATTTGTCTTTCACCGCCTGGCTTATTTCATTACCATAGTGTTCTCCAGATCCATCCATGCTGTCCCAAATGTTAGGAGATCCTTCTACCCTAAGAACCCTGACACACCTATTCTAAAGAACCTATGCACACCAATGTTCATAGCAGCAGAATTTAAAATTGCCACATGCTGGAAGAAACTTAAGTGCCCATCAGGAAGTGAATGGATCAGCAAACTACAGTACAGGTGTACAAGCACAAGAATATTTTTCAGTGAAACCGAAAAGTAGATTTTGTCAGGTTGGGGAGGTGCATTGTCATACAAGAAAACCACAAGTCTAAACTTTGTAGGGACTTGTTTGAATCTCCAAGAGGGATAAAAATATATGTCAGAAAACATGACACATGTCCCCAGGCTTCCTGGGATTTCTGTGACAAACTGCAGGATCTCAACCACTTCCTTCATGAACCTTGTTCTTGGCACAAAAACAAATCTTAAAAAAAAGAGAAGAAGGCTTAGCGTACAATTTCTCAGCAACATGCACAGATTATCTCAGGTCCCCAAAAGAATGCAGGCGGAGTCTGACCATGGTTACCATCACAATCCAAAAATAGCTTAATTGTATACACTGCACATTCTTTTTAAAGATTGCATCTATTTATTTTTAGAGAGGGAGGGCTTTGGTGGAAACTGCTAGTAGGATAACAGAAGTCACTGGAGTCAAAACATAATTCTGAAAGCATGTAGGAGCACAGAATACTGTTGGAGACCATCTGGCCCTCTATGACAGTGACAGAAATAAATCTT